TGCCAGAAAAAGGAAGCCAGAGAAAGGAAAGGATTTTAGGGAAAAGTGAAAGTATCAAACACTGCTGCCCTTAGCACATGAACCCTGAGCAAGCTGTGGAAATAGACAATGAAGGACAAAGAAGAAAAGATCTTGTAGTCAGTGGCATTGTTTCTGTAAATTTCTAGATGAGGCATTCGTGCCAGGATGTGTCTCCCTAAATGCTACAGTACTGGACCTTGTGAACGTGGCTCCCTGAAGCTGCTGATCCCATAATTAATCAGACAAGATATCTTTACTAAACGAGGAGAAGGGATGCTTAGCTTGGTCCAATGGAGTATGTCGATTTATGATGGGGTGAAACTAAGAGAAGGTAAAATTGGGCGGAATATCAAGGAAGAAAATTACCTAACAGAAAGATCTATTAGGTAGTGGAGTGGTATCTCCAGGGGAACAGGGCAGGGCCAGCAGCGCTGGAATCATTTACAAGTTGGCTGCTGAAAGCCCCTGAGAATATGCTGTGGGGAACAGGACGGAGTTGTCAAGAGAGTGGACAGGATGACCTGGAAGGTCTTTTCCATCTTTAGTGTCTACGATTTCGTGATTGTCTGCTTTTTACTGGAGCACTATAGCTACAGCTACTCTCTGAGGCCTGAGACACATGAAATCTTTGTTAGTAAGATACACGGTGGTGAAACATTTTTAAGGAACCCTCCATTCTTGGCCATCTTTTCCCATTCAAAATCGACTGTAGAGAAACAAACAAGATAAAGGAAACAAGAAAGAAATTAGAGTTTATTGTTCTCAAAGCCAACTTTATTATTTTTGTCTCTATTTATTCATTGAAACCATTTGATCAAATGCAAAAATATTCTTTTTTCTTTTCTTTTCTTTTTTTTTGAGACAGAGTCTCACCCTGTTGCCCAGGCTGGAGTGCAGCAGCGCAATCTTGGCTCACTGCAACCTCCGCCTCCCAGGGTCAAGCAATTCTCCTGTCTCAGCCTCCAGAGTCACTGGGACTACAGGTGCACACCCCTACACCCAGCCAATTTTTGTATTTTTAGTAGGGACAGGGTTACACCATATTGATCAGGCTGGTCTTGAACTCCTGACCCCAGCTGATCCACCCTCCTTGGCCTTCCAAAGTGCTGGGATTACAGCCACTGTGCCTGACCTTGGAAAACTATTCTTAAAGGTTGTGTTTAAATATAAAGGCAGTTTCTTTGGGACTACACTGTACTAAATTTCTTATTTCTCAACAGGTTGTTTCAGTATTGTATAGAAAGAGCCTGTTTTAGAGGTTAACAGATGAAATGAGTTCTTGGATAAGAAGCATTGTTCCATCTGCAACATGGTTAGAACTCTTGTACATTTGCATTTCTGTGTTTCAGAATTATTCAGGCAATAAATTTCTCAGGATGTCAACCTTATGCTGAAACAGAAATGACCTACTTTGTGAAGATCTTGTGTATTTTAAATTTAACCTTGTGCCTTTTCTTCAACTGGGAACTGGAGAAAGTAAGTTAAGATGGTGAAGCCCTGAGCTCCATAAGCGTGATCACAAGGAAGCCAAAAGTGGCTAAAATATATTGAGCTCTTACTATGTGCTGTACATTGTTCAAGGGCTCCATGTGCATTAACTTAGTTTCTTGCATCAACCCAGGAAGTATGCACTATTATTACATTTGAGGAAACTGAGGCACAGAGTGATGAAAAATATTGCCCAAGATCACAAAGCCAGTCAGATGCAGGATGTGGAGTTGAACAGGTGGTCTGAGTGCAAAACCTATATTCCTAATGATTATTACCCTACTGCCCCTCTAAGGGTAGTTTCTTGCTTCCTTCAACACCAATGGCAAGGGCAGTAATTTTAGTCTGCCTTGTTCCCTGATGACTCTCAAGAGATGAGAACAGTTTCTGGCACATAGAAGGCACTCAGTAAATATTGGCTGAAAGAATGAATGGAAGTTGGTGTGGCAATTCTGAGTTTTTCAATGCCGAACTCACTTACTACAAATTTGCTAAGGAAGAAAGGCAACTTTTTGTCTGTCTTAACCTGTGGTTATCTCAGCTACCTCTTAGCTTTAACATTTCTTTTCTCCATGGTGCCTCCCTTGACCTCTTCAAATAGGTTAGTTGCCCTTGATGTAAGATCCAAGTGTATGCTGCATTCCCTTGACATAGCAATTTTCACACTTTATTTTAATTATTTGTTCAGTTGCCTCTTTTTCTGGCCATATTGTAAGCTCTATAAGGGTAGGGTCTATGTTTTGCTCTCACTGTGACTGTGGCTCAGCGCTGAACTGGGCATGAGGAGGTCTGTTTGTGGATTATTGTTTAATGAATGATTGATAGAGGATATTCTTTTCAACTTACTTTTCTACTTGTTATTTACACAGAACTTCCACATTCTGTAGGCTAGGGCAGGTGAATAGCTTGAGTCCAGGAGGCAGGGGTTGCAGTGAGCCGAGTTTGTACCAGTGTACTCCAGCCTGGGTGACAGAGCGAGATCCTGCCTCAATCAATCAATCAATGAATCAATCAATAAATTAAAAAACACCCCACATTTTGTACTTTTTATCTATGGTAGCATAACAAATTATTTCAAAACCCAGTGACTTATTAACTCTTAAAATTTCTGTGTACTCTGGTTCAGGGTCTTCCGTGAGGTTAGAGTCAGATGTTAGCAAGGGCTGCAGTCATCTGAGGCTTGGTGGAGGCCGGAGGATCCACTTCCAAGATGGTACACTCACATGACTTGTTGGGGGCCTCGATTTCTTTCCACACAAGCCCCTTGGCAGGACTACTTGAGTGTCTTGATGATATGGTGCCTGGCTTCACCTAGACTGAGTGATGTAACAGAACATGGTGGTACTGAAGTGCCTCCCATGATTCTTCTTGGAAGTCACACACCATCATATCCTATGGGTCATATAGACTGATGCTGATTCAGTGTGAAGTGAAACTTTACAAGGGCATGGATAACAGGAGGCAGGGATCATTGGGATCCCTATTAGAGACTGGTTACCACACATACCATTTTACATCTCTTACGATCAAGCCTGTGAGATGTTATCCTTATTTTACAGATGAGAAAACTGAGGCTGACAGTGAATTGCCTAAGGTCTTAACTTGGACTTAAACCAAAGTTTTTTCCTTCCAAGTTAAGTGTACTTTCCAAGGTATTATAGCTGTATGACTAACTGAATAAATTATATATAGCTTTAATAAAACCCAAGATATAAAAATTGAAATGCCAAATTAGAAGAATTGTTTATATTACAAAAGGATCAACCATATCATAGGATTACTTAAATGGCATATGCAAACTGATTAAATTTATCAATATGAGTTTTAACATGAATTTTGGAGACACATGTATTGGGTAATGGGAAACGTACAGTTGAAAATGTGTGTGTGTTGGAAGCCATCATACTAGACTGCGAACTTCTTGAAGGCAGGAATAGAGACAGTCTTATCTCCGACATTAAGTCTGGGATCTAGTACAGAGGAAACCCAATTAAAGTTTATTAAATAAATGAACGATTATGAAAAAAATATCTGTAGCTACAGTATATTAAGATTTTTGTATATGAAAATTTGGCATTTTTAGAATATGTTTTACGTTTATTTCATAATTAATGGACTACTGAGTTTTATGTTACTAGATTACCTAAAACTTACTTAGATTTTAGTACAGGCCTGACATAGCATGTTTTAAAATTTTTCATCCCTGCCAAGATACAAGGCTGAAAAACTAACAAGTGTTTAAATGAAAACAAAGAAAAGGGCCAGAAGAATAATCTCATCTAAAGAATGGATAAAAGACCTGTTTTTCAGAACATGCAGGCAAATGGAAGTGTTTGTTTTTAGACTCAATTAACCAACCAGACTAATATTCTAAGCATGAATAAATTTTTTTGCCATTAAAAAAGTACTGAAGAATGAAAAAAATTTAAAAGTTTAAAAGAATGCGTCACACTCCAATTGGGCCAAGGACTTGAGGAGGTTCCTGTCTGATATTTTTTAAACAGCCAGGGGACCAGATGTTTTCTGATTTAAACACTATTGCTATTTGTCAATATTTTCTAAGGGAAGGTGAACAGACATGCTTCTTTGAAATGATTCCTTATCAACTCTTGTCTGCAAAATTAGTGGATCATCAGGCTTATGTCAGTATGGTTGTTAGTATAAGCTCACATAGGGGATCAAATTGTGGCAGTACATAGACAGAAGAGTTAAAGCAAGACCTTTGCTAAATGACTACAGTTGAGGACAAGGTTAACATTAGGATCCTGATCATATTGATACAAGTGTGACTATTTTACACCTTTATGTGGTTTACTTTTGTGATGGTGGTAATGTGAGATGAGTTCTGTCTACCCTAGTTCAGGTAGTGTAGATGCGTATTTACGAGAGTACATTTCTCAGCTAAGTTTTCTGCATGGATTTGGTGTTGGTCATTCTTCTGTCTCAGTTAGACTGGTTAGGGTCTGAAAGTTGAAGCATCTACAACGAAAATGGGAAATGCCCCATGAGACCCATAGTCCTCCTTCCCCATGGCAGACTTTTATCACTGAGTCATCAGTTTGGGTTTGCGAAAGAGGAGGAGATTGGCAAAATTAGGAGACCTCAAAATGATCACTGATAAGAGGAGAATGCTATAAATAACAATGAATAGAAATTTACCCTGATAAATCAATAACTTGCTTGCTATTAGCCGAAGATGGTAAATTAGGCTCACGTGAGAGGAATTGTAAGGAAAACATTTGCTTTGTATGTCAGTTGTTGAGGATTACCATTTAATGTTTTGAATATGATAGAAATATAGTAAGAATTTACAAATATTTACTTAAAAATTTTAAACCAATAACATTTAACAGATTAGTTCCTGTTTTATGTAAAATTTACCCATAAAAGATTAAAACTAGAAAGAATTGTTGACACCACTTATTCCAACCTTCTCCCCATTTTACAGTTGTAAAAATGAAGGCTTGGAGTGGCGAATGAATTCACCTAAGTTCACAAAGCTCCTAACTGGTAGCAGTGAAGCTGGTGAAATTGCTGCAGTCTTTGCTGGCCATTCCACTCATCACCACAGCCTCTGTAATGAGGGCATGGAGTGAGTGGATTTCAAAATCTCTTCAACTCTAAGGTATGATGTTTCTTTGTAACTTCTCATGAACTCTCTGATGTTACAATTCACTTTTTGTCCCCACTTACTAGAATGTAAGCTCCATGAGGGTTAGGTCTGTATCTGTGTTATTCTCCACTATATCTTTCTCATTTATTGAGAAAATAGTGTATGTTCAAAAAAACCAGATGTTGAATGAATGAGCTGAGATGAGGTTCAGAATCTTTGCTGACTTCATACTGCAGGTAGCTTTTGCCAATTAACTGCCACGAGCTTTCTAATAACCTGTGGTGGACCTATTCTATGGCTTCCCTCATAATTCTCACCTCTTACTTTTCACACCTTTGAGTAAACCTCTCCCTTTAAGAGTGGGAGTGATCTGGAACTTGCTTCCACTAACAGAATACAGCAAAGGTGTGTAATTGTGTGTACGTGATTTCATTACATAAGATTGTGATAGCTGTGTTTCACCATTCTCTGTGGCTGACTTTGAAGAAGTAAGCTGCCATGTTGGGAGTTGCCTGTGGAGAGGGTCATTTGCCAAGGAATCTATCTGGATGACAGATAGATGCGGCCTCAGTTCCATAGTGTTCAGCCAAGGAACTTAGTGCTTTTAGCAACTGTGTGAACTTGGAAGTGAATCCTTCTCCAGTTGAGCTTCAGATGAGACCCCAGCCCTGACAGTCCCTTGATGGCAGCCTTATAGGGGATCCAGCTAAGCTAAGCATGCTTGTTCTGATTCACAGAAACTGTGAGATGGTAAACGTTATGTTGTTTAAGCTGCAGTTGTAATTTGTAATCTAATAACATGTAAGTAATATGTACTCTATTTACCATCCCTTATCTAGATGCATTTTTTTTTTCATTTGAACATTCATGAAATAGCACTCTAAACCAGGTTTGGAGTACTTGAAATTTAGCATCATAATTTAGGAGAAACAAGGCTCTGTTTTGAAGATGAAAAGATTTGGTTTCAGTGTGTGTTTTGTTGACTCCATGAGGCCACTGTGTTTAGCTCTTTATAATCTACTGGTGCTTATTCATGGAGGTTAGAGTTCTCCTCTTTGCTTCTGCTCAGCATTTAAACTTATGCTCTTTACTTCTGCCAGCATTTAAACTAATTCAGAAGAGAGGCTGGGCATGGAGTCAGAGTGGGAGTGTTCTCAGATATGATCCCTCTCTCTCTTTATATCCAAAAATGGCTCTCAACATTTTGACTGGCAATTTGGCTACGTAAATTCTGTTTTAACAGAATCAAGCAGTAGGTGAGTAACAAAAGTGCCACTCATTAAACAGTTCTCTTTATTTAAAATGGTTAGTTTTTGTAGACTATGTGTGTTAATAAGGGTTGACAAAGCCCTTTAAAATAATAAAGGCAGTCAAATGATTTTTTGAGTCTAAATGATCTTACTGATTTTTATCACTAAATTTTATGGGCTTGACAGTTTCTTTGTGCAGTGGAATTGTGCTTTTCATTTCAAAGCCAAATAGAAATAAAATAGATTATGTGTAATTTTTCATTGTCCTTGTCCTATCCCTCTATTTTCATGAGTAATTGATGATATCATTATCTTTTACTTTACAAAATCATTGTTGTTTAATAAAATTGGCTTTATAACAAATCTAATTTTTCCAACTGATTCTATAAAAAGTTACTTGGATATTCATAAAATTTAACAAGTAATAAGTTGAAAATATTATATGAATGCAATGCTAATTTGGTAGCCAGGTCTGTGGGTTCCTCAAGAAATATTGAATATGCTTTTGCAATTACTTTAGAACTACCAGATTCTTGGCAACACTTTTCTTTCATCGCCTCCTTTATCTCTACCTGCTGTAGATGAAGGAATGCATTTTACTTTGGAGAATGAATGTCCTAACTTCTTAGGCTTCTTTTGCCAGCCATATTTCCAATGCCTAAGAGAGCTATCCTGCAATACCGAATTCTACCATTAGGTGCTGCTCTTCAACATATGATATAGAGCACCACGATTATTTCCGCCCCCCCAAAGTAATTTGAGGGCACAGAAGCCTTGATGATTTTTAAACTTTGTATATTAGTCTTTCGATAAGTTTGCATTGGATACATATTTCCACCTTTAAACAAATCAGAAGCCCTAGCTCTAGCCTGAAAATTTCCCGTTTGTTATTTGAGTTTTTGTAAAGAAATTAGTGAACCATTCTAGTAATGCTAAAAGGCTTCGCTTTTACAGAATAACTTTTTCTTTTAAAAATGAACAAAAAGATATTTTCAACAAAAATACATTAAATATACTAAAAATGAATAACTTGGGAAGTATCTTTGAAACAAATTTTTTATTGTTCAAATTTTCAGTCACATATTTCTTATTAATCTAGAAATTATCTAGACATTTTGGTTTCACTAGTAACTGCATACATTTTCCAGACACAATTAAATTTTTTGGGAGAAGTAAAAACATCATGTATTTTCAAAAAATGAATAGTACAAAGAGTTATAGGAAAGAAAGAACTTTTACTAAAAGGGTGGCATTTCTAATCTTTGTACTTCTATATCAGACTAGGGATTAATGGTTTTGGCAGCAGCAGCAGCAATTTTTTTTTTTTTTTGGTTACATACACAATAGATCAGAGGCAATGATTCAATGCTGAAATGGTCTCATGTTCCATGAAAACTTGAAGAAGGATGTCACAGTGGCTCAGACACAATGTTTTGTGACAGTAAGCAGCCAACAGCTTTTGGCAGAAGCTGTGGGACTTACAGGTTAACTCTGGGTGTTCCATGAAGGCTACTAGCCCATCTATGTCAATTTCTGGAAAGCTACTTGGGCAGAGGAAGACAAGAGTTAAACCTGGGGAGTGGGAGAGAGGTATAATAAAAGTAATAAAAACCGCAGAGCTCACCATATTTCAGCATATGGATTCCTATGTTCAGGTATAAAGTTATCTTGAGGGGAGGGTTTTTGTTCACCCTTTATTCTTTACTTTTTCTTTCTTTATAGAAAATATTTGCTGATTTCAGAAAATTGTTTCCTGTGAATGAAACTCTTTACTTTAGGGTTGATATGTTGTGACTTATGAAAATTTGAAATACCTGTTATGGATCAGCTCTCACTGAGCAAGGGCTGTATTTGCCAGGTGATGATTGAAGTTGTAAATCAGTATTCTTGAATCTGGAATTTCCTATAGTGAAGCAAATCGCTGCAAACATCAGCTTTAAGAACAAAAAAAAAAAAAAAAAAAAAAAAAAAAAAAAAAAAAAAAAAAAAAAAAAAAAAAAAAAAAAAAAACCCTTGACAGGCAAATTTGGTGTTACATGTTATACATTTCTCTTCAGTCTCTCAAACTTTCTGAACACTATAATTTGTTTGTGCTGCTGCATCACCATCGTCAACAATATAGGACTTTATTAGTTCTTTTCTCTTAGAGATGTCTTTCTTTTTTTTTTTTTGATACAGTCTCGCTGTCACCCAGGCTGGAGTGCAATGGCGTGATCGTGATCTCCGCTCACCGCAACCTCTGCCTCCTGGGTTCAAGCGATTCTTCTGCCTCAGCCTCCCGAGTAGCTGGGGTTACAGGGGTGCGCCACCATGCCTGGCTATTTTTTTTTTTTTTTTTTTTTTTTTAGTAGAGACGGGGTTTCTCCATGTTGGTCAGACTGGTCTCAAAATCCCGACCTCAGGTGATCTGCCCACCTTGGCCTCCTGAAGTGCTGGGAATACAGATATTTTTTGTTTTGTATTTTTAGTAGAGATAGGGTTTCACCATGTTGGTCAGGCTCATCTCAAACTCCTGTACTTGTGATCCACATGCCTTGGCCTCCCAAAGTTCTGGGATTACAAGTATGAGCTACCTACCGCACCTGGCCTTTTTTATTTTTATTTTTTTTTTAAGAGAAAGGAATACATAAAAGTTTAGCCACTTGAATCTGTGTGTAATCACTCTTCCCAGCCAAAGTTGTATATTGCTTTAGTTTGAGAAAGGAGATATGAAAGGGAGAATGTAAATAAGGGGAGGAATGGCAAAAGGGAGGGAAGAAGAGAAACAGGAGGAAGAGAAAACTCAGAAACAAATTTTCTTTTGAAAAAGTAAAACATCAAGGTAATAGTATTATGCCAACGAGGCTGAGATAATTTTTGAAACTCCAGCCACCTACCCTTCCAAGTTTATAAATTCTATCAGAAATATTAGGCTGATAAAAATGTAATTGTGGTTTTTGCCATTACTTTCAATGGCAAAACCTGCGATTACTTTTGCACCAACCTAGATAGCTCACATTTAGAGCATAAAGTTGGTAAATAACAATTTCATTCCTTAATTGTCTGTGGGGAAGACTTTGTCGTTGCGATGGAAGATGGCTGGATGCTCATATTTTTAGCTTGGAAGTCTTTAAACATTAGAAGGGAATTAAAATGAGATCGGATGAGAGGTGATGGAAAAGCAGCTTGAACAGTCTGCTTGGCTGAAGTAATGGTCATCAATGGCCTAAGCTGATCACCTGGTCATAGGTCTAAAGTCCTTGCCTATTTTTACTCTCTAGAGGTTGAGATCAGCTCATCCAACAGCTGTCCAGGGGATAGAGGAAATACAAAATGTAGAAGATACAATTTCCCACCAATGGGTGATGGAAAATCTTACATTGACTGTTGTGTATTAACAACCATTTTGTCTATAAATCCAAAAACAGACTCATCAGCTTTTCAAGAAGAAAAAGTGATGCCATGCCATTTAGCCAAAGCATAGGAAACCAAGTTGAGGTTCTATCCTCACCTGGTACGCTCTCCCAGTCCTGAGTCCCCAGGTGTTCTTTCTATTTTGTTTGCTAATACGCTGTCATCTCAGTATTCACTCTTTGGCTATCTCGCCTACTTGCTCTCTTTCCTTCTGAATTATAGATGAAGGGAATGAAAGGTATAAGTAGATAAGAGTGGTGGGTCCCTGGGTTCCCATGGCACCATGTTTGGAAGTTCCTGAAAGTGAGGCTGTGCTGGGAAGGCAGGGAGGTGATCCTGGCCTCACTATGAAAGTACCTGAGCTCACGGTGGGGAACCATCACCCAGGGAGCTGCCTTGTGCCCAGAAAAGGGTCTGAAATGGGCTCACTGGCTTTCCTTGAAGGCTGTGAAATAGAAGGAATGAGCAATGAATTAGCAGGAGAATTGGAGATTTGGGATGAAGGAAGAAGATTTCGCTTTGAAGACCCTAGAGCACATTCATTCTGCCACAGTGTGCCTGGCCTGTGTAGGATGCTGTGTGGGCCTAGGGTTCTCGTGATGGTTCAATGTTCCTGTCAGAGCTTGCAGCCTGCTGGCAATCTATCCAGATGTAGAAAAGATTCTCTTAAGTTAGAAAAAAAAAATACCCCATCCAATCTTAAAAAACAAAACCCGAACACACACTTTTGCTTTGTTCCTTCTAGTTACCCACCAGGAGTCCAAGGAGGAAGGAGTGAAGGGTGGTGGCAGGGCAGCCTTCTTAGACCAAAGTCTCCAGAAGTCAGGGCGGAGGCACAGGGCCGGTGCCTGAGACTGGCTGCTGCTGAGGTGAGTTTGGGAGACACAAAACACCTGAAGCTGGGGACATGGGGCCTCCTGTTAGCTCCTCACAAACACTCCCTTCTTGCCAGGACTTCCCCCAAGGTGGCCTCACATTTCCTCTGGTCTCCTCAGCAATTCATGTGGTTTTCAGACCCTTTCTGTGCAGCTGCTTTAATGTTTTCCGGATGCAGCTTTGTCTGGCCTTGGGAACCACCTGGTGAGGGATGGAGGGTGGGAATGCAGAAAGGGCACTCTTCTTGGGTTCGACTTGGCCTCAGACTCCCACTGCTTGCTTATTACTGGTCACTCTTGAGACCAAAGGCAAGGAAACGGGGCATGGTGGGGAGGCTGGGGGACATTCCCCGTGCTGCCTCTGCTTGGATTTTCATGATTTGAGATGAGGAAAGCTGAGTGATAGTAAGGGCTGACTCTTAGCCACAGAGGCTTCCTCTGTTGTCCTAGAGCAGCGGTTCTCAAACTTTAGCTTGTGTCCAGGTTGCCTAGATGGTTTGTTAAAACTCAGATTTCTGGGCCCCACTTTCAGACTTTCTGATTCCACAGGCCTGAGGTGGGTCTGGTGACCTGCATCTCTGACAAGCTTCCACGCGACGCTGATTTTGCTGTTTCACGGACCCCGCTTAGAGAACCATGGAAGCTTGGGGCAAGCTCTGCCCCACTGCAAAACTCAATCTCTGACCTCCATAGATACACATTCCATTGCAACGTAATATCCATTGGCATCTCTATCCATCTCTTCAGAGGAATTTCTCTGTTTCCAAGACAGTGCTGGGCAGGTTGAGAGCGTTTGGGAAAATGTTGTTGAATATTTGAGATGCTTTATAGCAGGCTTTGAACTGTTTAGAATCACTGAATGTTAGAGCTGATGGGAAATTTAGAGATGACCTAATCCAACCAGGTTGTTCTACAGACAGGAAAACTGAAGTTCAGAAAGACCAAGGTCATTAGATCACATAAAATTGCCCAAGATCACACAGCAGCTAGCAGGTCTTATATGCAAGTATTGTGTGCTAATGATCTCACCCATGTTGACTGAGCAATTGTTTAGTATGTGCTGGATACCAGGCTGAACACTATATGCTTTCATTTCATTCTCTGAATTATCTCTTGCTTATCTCAATTAATTCTCAGAACAACCCAATGAGGTAAGACAATTACAGTTCTCATTTTGCATGTGCCAAAAGTGAGGCCCTGGTGGGTAAATGCCTTGCCTCTGTCACTAGTGAATGAGGAGCTGGGCAATGTGATTGGTGAATAAGCTCCTGACCACAGTGCGCTTCTGCCTTACATGTCGTTGGTGCTCAATGAAGGTTTACATTTTGACAAGTTCAATTCCTGTGAAATGGGGAATCACTTACTTCACAGAATTTTGAAGACTAAAATGGAAAACATGTGAGAACGCTTTGAGCCCATGGAGCACTGTAGACTGGGAGGTACTGTTGGGAAAATGAATTTGGATTCTCCACAGACACCACGTCTGTGCTTTTGCAGACACACTTCCTTCTAGCTGGAATGCCCTTCCATGTTCCACCTGCAGCCAGTCCAGGTCTTGCTCTCCCAGAAGGCCTTGTTTGGCCTCCCCAGGATGAAGCCTGCACCTCAATATGTCTGTGTTCCTTGTACATAGACATTTTGTCTTTTTCTTTTTCCCATGCATTCCTGTCCTTTTGTGCTTTTGCGGATGCAAAAGCTTGTTGACCTACATTGTGACTTGTTGGCTCACACAAGGGTTAGCTCTATTGGATTGTCAGGTGGGGACCTACTGTCCCCATGTCTGTACTCCAGGAGCATCCCATGGAAGGAGCCTCTGTGCTGGCTGAACTGGAGCTGTTCCCACGCAGCCTCATGAGAACCTGGCAAGTGAGGCTGGGCATGCATTAAAATCCCCAGACTGAAAGGCAAGAGGGCTGAGTTGGCTGAAGCTCGGTGGTCCCCAAGTCCCACAGCGAGTTCCTGCTAGAACTTCAACAAGGGCCCATTCTTCTGTGCTCCCCTCCACACCTTGTCTCCCCAGGACCTAGGCCAGTGGGGTGGAAAGCTGGGACTGATCTAACTTCCTCTGATAGTTGCCTCAAGGTCTTCCCAATCTTTGACTGGCCAACCATGAGTTATTCTTTCTCGAGTATCCAGGTCCTTCAGAAAGGATCAGGAAAATTCTTGGAGGAGGAGCTTCTGGACGAGGAGGGAGAGGTGGGAGAGGAGGAAGGAGGAGGAGGGGGAAGAAGAGGAGAATGAGGAGGAAGGAGGAGGAGGGGGAAGAAGAGAATGAGGAGGAAGGAGGTGGAGGGGGAAGAAGAGAATGAGGAGGAGGGGGGAGGAGGAGGGAGGAAAGAAAACGAGGGGGGAGGAGGAGGAGGAAGAGGAGGAGGAGGAGGAGGAATGTAGCCTTACAGAATCTCAGTTCTCTTTAGACTCGTCAACCAGAGCCAAGATTTGAATGAGTGGGGCAGTCCCTGGACAGGAAAATTGCTGTATTCCCCTGCCCACTACTGTCACTCACTCACTCTCAATCTCTCTCTGTCTCTCTTTCTCTCTCTCTAGATACAGACACAGACACACATACACTCTCTCTCCACACACACACACACAGACACACACACACACACACACACACACACACATCTGGATATATATCCATCTATTTATGACTACTTTGGGATTGACTGAATTTTTCTCCCTCCTAAGCGGAGCTACTCTGGGAACATGGCCCCGACGGTAATTTTGAGTGTCTGAGTCAGCCTGTGTCCTTCCGCACCGAAGATCTTTTCTCGCTCTTGGTGGTTACTGCCAGCTCTGTTCGTTTGTTCTGTATTGCATTCTCAGCTAGGGATAAAATGCACTCTATACTCCCGGCTTGGAGGGGGTTATTCAGCAGAGGCTGTAGCCTCAGGAACAGTTTACTGATATGGGAGGGAGATGAGCCCCATGTTGGCCTTAGTGTCCCTTGCATATTTCAGAGGTAGGGTGGGAGCCCTCACACACAGAGCCCACCAAGAGCTTCATGGAGATGACCTCCTCCCCTGCATGACACAGTGAACATGGGTGCCATGAGCAGAGACAAGGTTGGATGTGAGCCAAGTGGCCACTTGGTCACTAGTTGCCTGAGAAAAAGGGAGGCAGAGCCAGGGACAGCCCTTGAAACCAAGGCTGCCTGACGAGGGCTGCATGGCGCTGGCTGATTGCCCATGTGGAGGGAACACAGATCCCAGGGGTTTTGGCTCACCCTGCAGGGAATTTCCTTTCCCTTATCCTCTCTGCTGGTCCACACCCTGCCTTCCCTTGGGGTCCAGTCACTCCCTAGTCCCCCTGAGAAGGCCCTTCTCACAGAGTAGTGGTGATCCTGTTGCCCAGTGGATGTGACCACCAGTTTCCCCAGCGTTGTGCAACATACTGCCACGGGCACGCCCAGATCAGGCAGCAAAGGGCTGACGTCAGGCAAGTGCTGCAGGCTTACGCCCGGGTGCCTGAAGCATGAGAGTCACTTTTATTGTTGTTTAGAGAAGGAACATGTTTACTTCAGGCTCCTTGTCTCTCAGATGGATGCAATTGGTCTGCTTTCCCCTGGGAATGAGGGTGAAGAGGGTGAGCAGGAGCAGTAATGTCCTTTTACGGCTCTTTGGAAACTGCAGGGACTCAGTCCTAAGGAGGCCACCCAATCATATAGATGCAAAGTTCTGTGCCTTTCTGGGCACATGAACTCCACATCCGCTCAGTTCTCATGCACTCTCAAGAGTGTGCCAGAGTGGAAGTGACAGGGACCTTACTATGAGGGAAATCATGAATCTCAATTATTAAACATAATAGATTTTTTTCAAATCATAAATGATGTTGAGGAACAATTTGCCTGTGATGGGTGTTGTTTTTGATAGGGACACACAGTTGCATTCCAACACAGGCTGAGAACTGCTCTTCTGACTCACAAAAAAGATCACACAAACGACCTTTGATAATAGATAGTTCTGTAACATTCATTAATTTGGCTTTGAGTATTGTCTTTCTAAAAATATTGTAGAACCACAGTGTTAGGGCTGGAAAGAATACTAAAGTTATCTAACCCAGTCCCTTCATTTTATGGATGAGGAAAGCGTGTTCAGAGAGGTAAAGTGACTTGTTCAAAGTTGCACAGTGAATTATGAGTTGGTGATAGAATCGGCATTCCCAACTCTTAGTTTAATTGTTCCCCTTTCCAAGGCCATCTGTACCATCAAAATGTGCTGGCCATAGATCCTGTTTATAAAAGGATCCAGGGAAGGAGATACCAAGCCTCACTTGAGTGCCCTTTCCATAAAAAAAATAGACTAATCAGCCAGGCGTGGTGGCTCATGCCTGTAATCCCAGCACTTTGGGAGGCTGAGGTGGGCTGATCACCCTTGGTCAGGAGTTCAAGACCAGCCTGGCCAACATGGCAAGATCCTATCTCTACTAAAAACACAAAAATTAGCTGGGCACGGTGGGTGGCGTGTGCCTGTAGTCCCAGCTACTCTGGAGGCTGAGGCAGAGGATCATTTGAACCCGAGAGGTGGAGATTGCAGTGAGTTGAGATCTGGCCATGGCACCCCAGCCCCCTGGGACTTTTACCATATTGTCTCATCCTTCCTTAATATAGCTGGGATTTCCATCACAGCCTTGTCTATATTTGAGAATATTTGGAAGCAACTCAAATGTCCAAAAATGGGGATTGGTAAGATAAATTACAGCACATCCCCGCAGAGCATGATCATGCAGTTATGTAAAATGCTGTAGTAGAGTAATAGTTATCAACACAGAGACATACAAGAGACTGTTATATGTAAAGCAACAGAATGCTCAAGTATATTGAAGTGTAACTTAGTTTGGAAAAAAGAAATTCATGCATACCAAAAATATTTGAAGGATACCAAATGTTAACAATTGTTGTCTCTGAGTATTGAATCGTGGAATGATCTTTATTTTCTTCTTTTCTATATTTTCCATTTTTTTTCAATGGAGATTTATTGCTTTTATATCAG